CACACACACACATACCTGAACCCAACTAAGGCAGGCCTGGGAGTAGCTCTAGGAAGAATACCCTCTGGGTGGAATTCTGGAACATTTTCACCACTGCTGGGGTTGGTGGGGTTGATGATAATTCCCATCATGTGATAGCATCCTAATTTCTAAGACTCACTGGTGGATGAGGTACAGGTGGATAGTGAAATACTGGGTTATGTGAACCATGACAACTGTGAAACTCATGAAATTTTAAGAATAGAGATAGCTTTAGTTAACTTCCTTGCAATACTGGAATAAACAGTATAATAGGCCGAGGTCAGCCAACTGTCAACCCAGGGTGCATTGTGAAAGCCAGAAACCTTCTGAAGTGACAGTTGATGAGCCACATGACTTAGTGGTAAGATGGAAGCACTACACAGGGAGACTGTGTGTATAGCATAAGCAGGTCTCTGTGGCATACTCTCAGATTTTGCAGTCAGAGAGTTTGACCTGGGAATATTATCCTGGATTACTGAGTAGGGCCTAAATGCCATCACAAGTGTTCTTTAAGAGAGGCAGATGGGTATTTGACTACAGAAGAGGAGAAGGCAAACTGGCAGAGCAAATGACGATGGGAATGATGTGGCCACAACCCTCAGAATGGCAGCAGTTGCCAAAACTGGAGACAAGGAATAGATTCTCCCCTAGAGCTTTCAAGAAGATCCAGCCCTGCAGACACCTTGAAGTGAATGAACTATGTAGGACTCATTTTTTGCCTCTGGAACCATGAAAAACCTTTTGTTGTTTTAAGCCATTAAGTTTGTGATGATTTGTTACAGCAGCAGGAGGAAGTTGATTCACTGAGCAATACATCCTGACAGAATTAGAAGTTCTTCCAGTTCATGGAGGAGCAATAGTGAGAGTGGATCCTGAGGCCCAAGGCAGTGGGGTTGAATGTAAAGGTGCATAGGGGGAGTTAATTAACATGTGAGCATTTTTTGTCACAGCTCAGAATTTAACTTACTGGCCAGAATGCCTGCAATTCACTCTAATGAAATGCTAAGATGTATCCTGGAAGCTTGGGGCAAGATGATAGTGGACGTGCCAGCTCTGCCCTTGAAAAATACTGAGGAAAGGGTCAGAAGGCTTAGGTAGGGGGTAGGAACTTATGGGAGCAGAGGAACCATTACTTGATTAAGTTTCTGCAGAAGGCCCATTATTAAAACAGTAAGAAATGCGCTCGTGAGGAGTAAAGAGAAGCAGAGACATTCAGTGTTAGCTGTCTTAAATTTTTAATTTATATTTCTCTACTCGTTGGTGATGTTGAGCATTTTTCTATATCTTCTTTTGCTATGTAACTAAAAAAACATCTTTTGTCCATTTTTACTGCATTTTTGGTCTTCCCTTTAGAATTGTAAGAAGATCAAAGTTTCAATCTGTTATCATTTTCCTGAAGAATTTTACAGAATTTCTTGTAGTGTAGATTTGGTAGCAACAAGCAGTGACAAATTCTCTTAGTTTTCTTTGATCTGGAAATGTCTTTATTTGTGGTCAATCCTGTAGGATGTTTTCATGGATATAGAATTCCACTGGACAGTATTTTTAAAAGCATGGTGAGATATTATGTCACTTTCTTCTGTCTCCTACGATTTCTCAAGAGAAGTCAGGTGTTGATCAGATAATCATTTTCTAGTTTGTTATGTCTTCTTTTCTGCTTTCAACATTTTTTCCTTACCTTTGAATTTGAACAATTTGACTGCAGCATGGTTTAATATG